AATAGCCCTCCAATAAACTAGGAAATTTAAATAAAATCATACTAAAATCTAGAAACTAGAGAACTTAGGAACTAACAACAAATAAGGAAATTTGCTAAAGTGTTTTTCCTTTCCCCTTTTTACAACGAAAGGGGCTGGTCTTTATGTTAGGCGGGTCGGGTCGGGTTACACTTTCTAATTTATGTTAAAGTTTTTTTTTAATACTTATTTTTGTTCAAGTATTTTTATTTTCTCCTTTTTACAACAAGATAATACTGGTGCTGGCTTTCCTGGCAATATGAAGATACTAAGGTGTTAAGACATTTTAAGTTGGAATCCTTATGTTATTAATTAAGAAAAACTATTTAATTAGTATGTGTTTGAATGGAAAACGGCACTAACAAATGCATATATTATAAAGTCAACTGGGAAAAAAACCATTTTTATGCCAAACTAATTTCAATCTCAAATGGGTTCCCACCACAGCGGTGGTCACTTCCCCATGACACCACCGTTTGAACCCCAGAGTCGAACTTCAATATAATAATAATTAAAAAAAAAACTAATTTCAGTCCCTACTAAACATTTCACATAATAGTCAGTCTATAAGAAAATGACCAACCAAACAGGGGGTCTTAGAAACATACTTTTTGGTCATACTTCCTTCCGTTTCCATTGTCAAATTTGAGACCGCTTCCGTTGTATCGTCAACAGTGCTTGCCATCGCAGTGACACGGTATGTGATAATGTCAGGTAGAGGAAGAGTGGGCTTTCTGGGGTGGTTTTTTTGTGCCAGAGTGTAGCAAGGTTTGGCATATATATAGGAACGAGGTTGCCGAGTAATTCACCTTTTCCTTACGTAGGAATTCCTCATTCCTTGCTAACCAAGAAAGTCTAGAATTAGGAATTCTTTATTCATTTTTTTAATGCGGGAATTCTTCATTCCTTGCTAACCAAGCAAGCAGAAAGTATAAAAAAAGTATAAGGTTGGGGAATTGTCTTTTTTCTGTATAAAAAAAGTAAATCAAACATGTGGTTTTTTTTCAGTTTAAAGAAAGGAAAAAAAAGGGACCCTCCGCATACATGCCATACGGTTTTACTTCGACCCATCCATGTCAATTTCTGTATCTAAATACTTTTATTTTTCACATATATAAATCAACCCAAACACTTTTATCACCTTTCTTGGTAAAGGTAGAATAGAAACCATGCTCTGCCAATACTTAAAAGTCAAACATCACCTCTAGATTGGGCTTTTCCTTCATTGGTGGACTGTACAGAGAATTTGGAGGCTATTATGTGTGCTTTAGTGCCTTTTTTTTTTAATGATAAAGAAGAGAGATGCATAAAACAAAATGGAAATGGTTTCCTTTCCATTGAATGAATGAATTCATTCTGATCATGTGAAAAAACAAAACGAGTCCGAACATTAAGCAGTTTCGGACGTTCGCACTAGAGAATAGTCATATATATATATATATATATTTATTTATTTATTTATTTATTTATTTCCAAAGTTAGAAAGGGGAGAAGAAAAAACTCACATACACAGGTACCATTACCATGGGGTGGGGATTTGAACCCATAACCACTTGTGAGAACACCATTGGTATTTTTCACATATTTCTCAATTACACCAAAGTGCATTTTTCAAAAACCATGCATATTATCATACATGTAACATACTCATACAATTTTCATACTTATTCTTAAAAAATAAATGAAGATTAAAATACAATTTAAATTTCACTGTCCTAAATGAGTAAACATATGTAAGGCACCATCAACAAAAGGCCATGAAAACGCAATGGATACATAAAGCAAGCTGATGAATTAACCTCCAAAAAGTCAAGGTTGTTTAGGAACCTTCTAACATATTGATGGCATGTTTACTAATCCATAATTGAATTAGGAAGAATTGAATTGAGGATGAGTTGGATTGAGAAGAATTAGATTCCGGATTCCTTATTGAAGTTGTTTACTAAACCATATATGGATTGAGGAGACTTAGATTCCGGATTCCTATTCAAGTTGTTTACTAAACTATATGGAATTGGGGTAGGAGTGGTATTAATTACTAAAATGTCCTCGTTGTTGAGTTAAAGTAGATGGCAAATTTTGAATTTTTAAAATTGCGTGAGTATATAATGGGTAAAAAAAGATGAATTCCTAATGGATTAGTTTTTCAGGAATTAGAATACCACCTCCTACCTAAGAATTGAATTCCTCCAAAATCATGAATTCAATTCTTAATTTTTAATTCCTTGATGTGAAGTAAATGCATGAATCATCCATAGGTAGAATTCAATTCTTGATTTGTAAACACACCATGAATGATTTGAAGTCAAACCTCGGCAGTCAATATTAAATCCATATAAAATTGATGATAATGAGTTTCCTAGTGAGAAATACAATTAAGTTTACGCGTAAAATAATGGAAAACAAGAACAACATAAAAATGTGAAAACTTAATACAAAATAACATAGTATGATCAGAGTGATTTGATGGTGAAGCATATGATAGGTGATTCTCACCATATAATCGCTTAAAATCACTTAAAGTGATTATATGGATAAGCATGTGAGAGATCTTCTCCCCATAATGGTGCGTTTGGATGAAGGAATTCTAATTTTCATAGAATTTGTAAATGACGGAATTTCTAATTACAACATTTAAAATTACGTCAATTCCAAATTTCAGTGTATGGATATCTTGTATATAGAATTTTGGAAATGACGGAAATTACAATTTCTCTTGTTTGGATAATCATAGAAGGAATTTTATAACTGAAACTAGCAGAGTAAGGAGGCTTAAGAATAAAAAAGCATGCAATTGTTAGAAGTGAGAAGTGATCAACTTGACATTAGCTTTCATGCAAACTCGTTTCTTTTGCATTCTTTCAACAATTTATTAAGATCTTCCAAGAGGTTCAAGAGAACATATTCGATAAAAGTAAAGCAAGTAACATTTAAATCTCTTAAACAAAAACATTCAAAATCGACCATTTTGCTAGACTTTGGTACGTGTTTTCCCCACTAAATATAAACAAGGTTGTTATAAATTTTTTGTTTAAATGAGGATGATTCATAAGGACTCAGATACAATCAAGTTGTTCCTTTAATAAAATAAATAAAAACTATAATCAAGATAAAATCATCTATATTACTAAAAAAAAACATGTGTTCCTTACTGTCTAAGGTACTTGTAATAAATAAAAAATTAATAAAGATAACATGAGAATGAAAAATGTGTTATATGCCCTTGGTGAAATAAATATAAACAACATTCCCTTTTTTCTCTCAATTGGAAGTGTCTTCAACATGAGAAATTGTTTCTCATTTTCTATAAACCAAGTGCATGCCTTCGATTGTTCTCTGGACTAAGTTCTGGAATTGCATTAACTTCATTATATACTTCTAATGGATCAAGCTTTTGTGTGGTAGCATTGATAAATTGTTTGAAAGAAGAAGCCATTTTAGCCACTGAATCATCAAGAACATTAGGGGTACCTATTTTCTTTGGTGGGCGAATATCATATGATGGTTGATTTCTTTTCTTTGGACATCTAGAGCTGGGTGAGACATCATCAATGTGAGAATTCTCAAAACCTTGAGTATCAGCACCCAAGTCAACAAAATTATTGGGTTCACTATCACGGGTCATAACCTCAGCAACTTCAACACATGTTTCAGCACCTTCTCCAGTAGCTCTATCTTTGCCACATAAATCCACTATATATCCCAATTTGCAATTACTTTATATCAAAAAGTTCTAGCATCTTCATAAGACTATCAAGAAAAAAAGAAGTTAAATAACTCTAAATTTAACACAAAAATATCATAGTCATGCAAAAAGGTGTAATTACATTGTAAATTACCTTCACATACTCGTTTCAAACATTCTCTTCATCTATAATAATCATCTTTTTTGTTGCATTCCAACTGAATCCACTTTGACTTAATATGTCACTAACTACAACATAAAACCTTTTTCATATCTTGACACGGTTTTTAATGTTATCGGCACTTACTTCAATATTATATTGGGTAGACAATATGGCTGCAACAACGTTATAAGCAACTGATTTTCAGCCACCATCTCTTTTGTGACCCATCTAGTATTCTTCTCTAAGTATCTCTGCTAATGAACGATCCATTTGTATGTTCCAACATAAATAACATTTGTCATCTCCTTCATGTTCATTACATTGCTTCTCTTTTCTTTTCCTCTGCTTTAGTTTGGTTACTTTATCTGCCATTTTATGTAATTGAAATAATTACAACCACATTAATAAATATCATTCACAAATTTATTCAAATTGATAAAAATGTTAAAAATTCAATACATGAAGTAAACACTTATTCAAATTAAAACACGAAAAGTTCAAATTGAAAAATCATGAAATCGTAGCGCCTCGTGCTTGATAATCATGAAACATCTGCAATGCTAACGTGTCACGAAAAGTAGTCCACTGATCAGTAACTTGAACACTTGTAATCCTATTTGCATTGCCCTCTAACGTAGAATGATTTGATATCTCATGATCCACAAGCTAAAAACCCCAAATCTAGATCTTGTAACACAAGGTCATTATGTTACTTGACTCGGATAAAGTTATGCAACATAAAGCATGCATTTATAATCCTAATTTGGGTTTTGATGTTGAAAAATGAAGGGGTATGCAGTATACTCCATCGCTTTTTTAAAAACCAAACGATCTTTCAATTACATTCCTTGCAATTGAATGACGCAAATTAAATAATTCTTTGTAAGTTTTAGGCCGATTGTTTCTAGTCCATTTATTTAAGTGATATCTAGTTCATATGTACGGTGCCAAAAAATCTTGTCCATTAGCGTATCCCGCATCCACAAGATAATACTTATCTACAATACAAAAAGTTTTAAAGAGTGATTAGTTATTTATACCTAAGTTTGTGCTTAATTAACAACTAGTATGATAAATTACCACTTGGGGCTTGAAAACGGATTATCCATGGCTAAAGCATCTCGCAAAACACGAGCGTCAGAAGCAGAACCCTTCCATCCGGATATTACATAAACGAATTTTAGATCTGGATCACAAACTCCTAAAACATTGGTAGACATATCTCCCTTTCTATTTCGATATCTTGGTCTCTCCTCATCAGACACTGTTACTGGAATGTGAGTTCCATCTAGTGCCCTATACAATTCTAATGACATGAAAGAAAAAACAAATAAACAAATACTTTTAATGTAATTACAAGAACATACTTTTGTTTAGCTCAAACCACTCCCACCTGTCTCTTTATGAACCAACCTATAGTACATGGATGAAGTTTCAAATAATCTTGACTTATTTTCATCATTGCATACAACACACTATTAAATTGTAGACTATTTGTTTCTTTAGAGCGATAATAGTCACAACCAATGACCCTAAACTTTGAAGTTAGGCACAAGTATATTTAAGAAAATAGACACACACTCTTCAATTGAAACATTTCTTGTTGGAGTCAAACCATCACTTCCATGCAAAATAGTGCATAAACTCTTAAATGCATTCTTGTTAACTCGTAATTGTTCAATACAATCAACCTCCCTCCCATTATACAGACGGTTCAAGTAACATCGTCTTTCTTAATCCCAATCACGTGAAGGCTGGCTCTTCGACCGAATAAGTTTCATTATACCATGCTACAACTATGGCAATGGTACCAAGAATAATTGACATTTTGTCCCTATTTTATTCTTAATCTCTAGCACACTTGCTACTTAAACATGTAAGAAAGTTATCTACATAATCACTAGCCATAAATGTTTATATTTCCAAATAATCTTATTATGTTGGCATATCAAACACCAACAAAAATGTCATCGTAGAACTAATTAGTCATGCTAGCTAGCCAAATAAGAGATACTGATAACTCTTTGCTACACATGCAACGACTCCAATTACCATCTAGCTCTTACCTCTATGTTTAAGCGTAATGGTCAAGCTGGGTGAATATGAATTTGAATATGGCGACTCAAATAATGGTACAATTTAAGATCAATACAATAAGTGTAAAGAAAACAAGAAATATAAGTATGATTGGTGAGGGCTTCTATAGCATAAACTACAAGGAAACTATAATCTCCTCAACCAAAACAAACTCTGACGAATCCGTATCATAAATACATAGTAAAATTATGTAGCCAGAAAGTGCAAAAAATAATAATTTCACAACATATAATCTTATCCTTTTATTAAGACAACCTTCTTTCTCAATTATGAAATAACAAAAACATGAATATCTACAACTAAAGAAAAAACATTGAATTTTTCCCTCACACACTTCTCTTATGATGTTTAACTTTATTTACAATTGAATCAACCCAACCATTCTCCTAAGCACACATTCATATTCCAAAATAACAGCATAGAGGGTGATGAACAAATAAACATAATCAACCCATAATCTGAAGTCATAAATTGTTATTAAAAAAAATTGAAAAGAAAAGATAGGTTGAGACTATACCTTTATTGGAACAACAACGAGTCTTAGATTGAAAGGCAGAGATGGCAATAATCTGAAAACCAAAGATTCTCTCTATCATATAAAAAAGATGATTAGCTTGAATAGAAAGCACTGGAAACCCATTAGATAAAGAACCTGATAACAAAAACAAACTAGAGATAGATCGATCGATAAAAAAATTAAAAATTGCAACTAGATTGAAAGCTCACAAGTGAAACTTGAATGGATGGCCTACTTCTCCTACTTTAGCTAGAAAACTGATATGGGTGTATTTGTCGAGGAGATTTGGCGAGCAACAAATGCAATTTCCCCTGCACTTGTTGCACAATTCCACCAATTATGATAGATTTGAACTTGGGATTTTGGATTGGGAAATCCCTCCATATTTCCCGCATGTGATTTGCTAAATCTCGAGTAGAGTTTGCCAAACGCACGAATTTTCCTTTTTCATCCCCGACTTTTTTTCCTTTTGCCAAACAAACGATAAGTGATTTTAGGAGGGCAAAAATCACTCCCAAACATGCCCATATTAACTTACTAATAAAGGGAGGGCGCATACATGGGCATAGCCAAGTTGGATAGAGTGAATATGCTCCCCACTTTGCACCCGAGTTCGAATCCCCCTCTCCATAATTTAGATTATATTAAAGTAGAATATCACTTTGTATAAAATAAAATAAATGGAGGGCGACAAATAACGTGATGATTCCCTTGTTTAACAAGAAAAAAAAAATCGTGTAAACATATCTAATTAACTAACACGAGACAACGAATTCCATGATGAATAAAACAAGTACTTTGACCATCAAATTTGCAACTGAAATTTAAAGGAAGATATATGCATAAGTAGTTTTGTTGATGTGTTTGTTAATTGGATACCGATAACAAAAAAGGAAAATGCATTTAAAGAAACTAGTGGCACATAGAGATAGGACCGACTTTGAGAATTTGAAGGCCCTGTGCGAAACTTAAATTGAGAACCCTCACATTATCTAACACGAATATATATATATATATATAATATCTATCATGAATTGATTCCATAAACCAATAAATGTAATAAACCTAGCTACTTTTCATGAAGACAACCATAACCTAGTGTTATTATGTGGTAAAATTGTTTAATTGGTCATGGGTTCAATGCTCCTTAATGTCATTTTATAGAGAAATTTTTGTCATTTTGAAAAAAATAAGTAAAAAGAAACCACTAAGTGCCAGTTTGGCATTGCTTATTTGGGGTAATAAGTGATTTTTTAAAAATTTTGGGAAGCCCTACCCGTTTGGTAAACTATGAGAAAATCACTTATTGTTAAAAATTGCTGTGAGAGAAAGCTATAAAGGAAAGCAGCTAATGAGGTGCTTTCATTTTCTGATTATGCAGGAATCAGTTTTGAAGAGGCACTGAGTTTAATGATTATGCGGGAATTATTTTTTGATTATGCGAGAATTAGTACCAACAACACTTTTAACAAAAAGTTTACCAAACGCCAAACTGCTTTCTCTCACAGCTGATTTCTCTCACAGCAAATTTGACAGCGATTATTTTCACAGCACAGCAATGCCAAACTGGCCTTAAGTGCCCTTTTGACATTGCTTATTTGGGGTGATAAGTGATTTTTTAAAAAAAATTAGGAGGCCCAACCCGTTTGGTAAATTATGAGAAAATCACTTATTGTTAAAAATTGCTGTGAGAAAAAGCTATAAGGGAAAGCAGCTAATGAGGTGCTTTCATTTTCTGATCATGCGGGAATCAGTTTCGAAGAGGTGCTGGGTTTAATGATTTTGCGGAAATTATTTTCTGATTATGCGGGAATCAGTACCAACAACACTTTTAACAAAAAGTTTACCAAATGCCAAACTACTTTCTCTCACAGTTGATTTCTCTCAACAAATTTGACAGCGATTATTTTCACAGTACATCAATGTCAAACTGGTCCTAAGTCACACAAGTGGGAATTGAACCAACACCCCTAAAAAGTATAAAAGAGTGAGAAACCAACTATGTTAGGCACACAATTGTGTAATTATATTGCATGCTCACATATATATAATATATACAACATATACATGTAAGAAAATTCGTAGGCCCTCAAAAATTGGGGGCCTGTGCAGTGGCATCACTTGCACATCCTTAAGGCGGCCCTTGCGCTGAGAACATATATACTACAAAAAGAGCACAACTTGACAAGGAAAGAAAATTCATACATCAATATCTTTTCATCTTGATCTCTATATAAATATCAAATCTGAAACTTGTTGGGTATTTAAAAAAGAAAGGATAACATACATGACATACATTGGATTCATATTAGGTGAGGAATCTAGGTACTTGTTTCACATTAAGTTAGGATAATGTGATCATAGGTCTAAAATGCAAGAACCAGTCGTGTAAGCCCTCGAAGGAAATTTTTCTAAGTAGAACATCAACTTGCTAACTCAACTACATTTAATTGAAATATAAAATTTAACTCAACTACTCACAATCATCTCAATTCAATTTGACAAGAGTAAATAAATATTATATTATATTAAATATTACTTAAAACTAATTATATTACATATGGGCCATGCTCAAGGATATGGATAACAATATCATCCCCGACCCATTCTGACCAAGGATTTTTAGAATTTGGGGATCTCCGTACTCGCCCTCAATTTCCTCCCAAGATCGCCCCCAATTAGGACCAGGGACTTGACTCTACATGGATTCTTGTGATCCCTAATTTTTAATGTTTTATCATTTTATTTCTTTTCCTTAATTATATGCACTAGCATCACACCAATGAGGTCTAGCCTAGTGGAAAGATGGCATTGACTTAGTGGTCTCAAGGTCGAATCCACATGACTCCTTGATAGTGCGTGTGAAAAATCCCCTCCCTTTATAGTTTAGACTTTAGACTATCGCTTGTATCTAGCACAACACGTGTGCCAATTGATTTTATTTTTTGCCTTCTGTTTTTAGTTTAGAATTTAAATTTTAGAATTAAGAAAGATAAAATGAGTTTAGTTGTGGTTTATAGAGATATGACCCATGTTCTGATTTTGTTTTTTATTTTGAATTTTTTTAATATGAAAAAGTGTAAATTTCCTATATTATCCTCATTAATACTTTCCAATTCTTAACATTTTCATTAACTAAGGGTAACTTGTAGTATTTTGAATATTTTACAAATATTTTTTTATACAAACAGTATTCTACTTTAATCTAATCTTCAAAAAAAATTTAGATAGATAAATAGAAGAAATAGATTTTAGTTTTCTTCGAAATTTGAATTTTTTAGATTTAAATGTTCAAAAAAATAAATGAAGGTAATATAAACATAACTCAGAAATTTATTTAAAAAGAAAGTTGAGGTTAAAACAATTGCTAACCAAATAACAAACTTTGGCTATTCATATTCTAAAATTGAGGGAAAAAGTCACATTTAATGGGGAAAATTTGATTTTGAGTGGTGTTAACCACCCAAAACTGACATCACAAGCACAGGCTAGCATCCAGTGCGCGACAGTCGCAGCTCCATACCGTGGAGCTCCTGCAAGAGCGGCCTTTAATTTGAAATAAAAGGTCAAAATCGCGACACCAAAACGGGGAAACTTTAATCGCACGGCCAGAAAATTTCAAAAGAAATTGAAAAAAATTAGAACGGCTGCCGTCTAAATAAAGCCAAACAGCAACAGCGGCAATTCTTCTCTCCTCGATTGGGCTCTCGCTCTCTCTCTTCCTCTCTTGCCCAACACTCTCATTTGTTAAAATCTCTCACTCTTAACAAAATTAGGTTTCGTTTCAAATTCCTTGTTCAAATTCTGGATCCCGATCTACCTTTTCATCTTCCTTGGAAGACTGACACACGAGCGGTTCGATCTATTTCTTTATCCCCAACAGGGACATAATTTTCTCAGTTGCAATCCACCCGTCGTATCGTGTCTATTCCTTTGAGTTCGCTCTCTCTCTATCTGCATTTGCATTTGCATTTGCATTTGCATTTGTGCAGATCAGATTGTTAGGGTACAGAGGGATTTTTGTTTCTCTTTGAATTTTTCAATTTGTTTTTTGAAAAATGTCGGAGGAAGAGAAATTATTGAAGGAGGCGAAAAAATTGCCTTGGGATGATCGGCTTTTCCACAAGAACTGGAAGGTGAGGAACGAGGCCAACATTGACTTGGCCGCTCTCTGCGACTCCATCGCCGATCCCAAAGACCCTCGCCTTCGTGAATTTGGTAAGAGATAAATTTTCATTGCTGGTCATGAACGCTCTGCATTTTGCATTTTGTTTTTACAGTTTTTTTGGTGTTTGATTGTTTTGGTCAGGTCCGCTTTTTAGAAAGACTCTGGTGGATTCTAATTCGCCGGTGCAAGAGAAGGCGCTCGATGCATTGGTTGCTTTTTTAAGAGCTGCGGATGCTGATGCCGGAAGGTTAATTAATTTTATTTTTCTTCTTATTTTAATTTGGTTTTTAACAAGCCTTTGTTTGGATTTGTTAGCTTAACGTTTATGTATTTACAGATATGGCAAGGAGGTTTGTGATGCGATTGTGGCGAAATGCCTCACTGGTAGGCCGAAGACAGTGGAGAAGGCTCAAGCTGCATTTATGCTTTGGGTTGAATTGGAGGCTGTGGACGCTTTCTTAGTACGTTATGCAGCATAACTTATGCTTTTTGGTTTGTTTGAATAGTAATAATATGCTCCAACGAGCAATTGGCATAAAGATCTCTATTATGTGAAGTGTTGTAGTTACTAGTCTCACAATTTGGAGTGTTTTTTATGTTATGACAGTTCGCAAGTGAACTCTGATATAATGTAGTATTAGTAGAAGCAGCAGTAAGATGTCAAGCGTTGGTGGTTGTTTCCATGAATTGGATTAGTTCTTGCAGTTTTTTCTTAATTTTGATCATGTGGCATGAAGGGCTTGTTAACTACAGACGTATGGGCTAAGTTTCAATTTCAAAATTTGGCAGCAGGCATTTTATGTGCAATAGAATGTGGGCATTGCCTTATTGTGGTTGGAAGTTCAGCTTATTCCTGGTCTGTGTGTAGGCATATATGTACTTTTGATGAGAGAAAGGAAGGGAGAAGGGGGTGGGGGAGGCTTATTGGGTTGGAGTATGTAAATCAAGTCAGGCATTTATATACTGGAGTAGGTTGTTTATTTGGTGTCTAGAGCAATTGAAACAGGCACGGAATGAGGTTGGGATTATTTGTGTGGAATGTAATTAATTTGTTTATTATGTTTACTGTGTTTGGTGTGCTAATGAAATCTTGGGATAGTCATATTTCCTGTTGCTATTGTTGATCAA